CTCTATAAATAGAGAACCCTTTGTACAGATTATTTACAATTCTATAATATATTAGAATACCCTTTTTCAAGTTGGTATCAGAGCTCTCGATCTGAGGGCTTTGCTTCCGCACATATTATCTTCTTTTTTAACAAAACCCTAATTTCTTTGCCTCTTGCCGCCATCAGCCGCCACCGGAAAATTTTTTCGGGGACCTTTTAGACCAAGGGGACCATTGTTGACCTTATTTTTCCTCCGATCTATCATTTTACGCACTGTTCCTCCGCCACAAACGACCGAAACACCTCCGACCGCCTCCAATTAGATCTGTCTTCACCGTTTGGACCACTTTCCGGCGACTTTTCAACCGCGACCACCCACAGACAGGTGCGTGCTCACCGGACGACCACACCAGAAAAATCTCAGCCGGCGAAGCCCCTCCACGCGCTCTCACGCGCCGCCCCTTTCCCGGCGAGAGAATACCACGCGCAGCTCCTTTCTCCGGCGCGTGCGGCCGTGTTTTTGGACCGGACCACCACCATTCTTCTCATCTTCTTGTCTTCTGTCTGGATCTGTAATTATTTTTCTGATCAGAGGTCATTTGATATTCTGTTTGGTTGATTTTATCGCTGGTTGTTAACTTTTTTTGTTAAAGAATGGCCGAGCATGATAGTTCTTCGATCTTATCTGGTAAGAGCACACGTTCTATATCTCTTCTTGCTTCTTGCACTGATTTTAGAACCTCATGGATTTTGGATTCTGGTGCAACTGATCATATGGCTTGTCGTACTGAGTTGTTTTGTTCTTATCATCCTACTATTGGTAGTCATACTATATCCGTAGCTGATGGATCCCATAAATCAGTTATTGGTTCTGGTAACATTCAAATTCAACCTTCCTTGTTTCTTAAAAATGTTCTTTATGTTCCTCAGCTTTCTACTAATCTTATCTCCACTCAAAAACTTACAACTGATTTGAATTGTTCTATCACATTTTTTCCTTCTCATTGTCTTATTCAGGATCTTACCACGAAGAAGACAATTGGAGTTGCTAATGAACAGGATGGGTTGTATCATCTCCTTCCAGACCATGCTAGCAAAAATCAGTTATTAATGACACGTCATCCTTCTACTGCAGAGTCTATGATTTGGCTCCATCACAAGCGTCTGGGGCATCCACCATTTAGTCTTTTGAAGTCTATGTTCCCCTCTCTGTTTCTCAATAAGTCGGTTGAGACCTTTCATTGTGATGTTTGTGAATTTGCAAAACACCATCGAGTGTCATTTCCTTCTAGCACTATTAAAAGCAGGGAACCTTTTTCTCTTATCCATTCTGATGTTTGGGGCCCTTCTAAAGTGCACAGCCTTTCAGATGCAAGGTGGTTTGTTTCTTTTATTGACGATTGTACTCGGATAACATGGATATACTTGATGAAAGACAAGTCTGAAGTACCAGAGATATTTATTCGGTTTCATCACATGGTTGAGACTCAGTTTGGTAAGGGTATTAAAAGACTCAGATCTGATAATGGTACTGAGTACGTCAATCAACGCCTGTCACAATTCATTTCAGACAGAGGTATGATTCATGAGCTCACATGTGTTGATACCCCTCAACAAAACGGGGTTGCTGAAAGGAAAAATCATCACCTTCTTGAAGTTGCTAGAGCACTACTTTTCCAGACATCTGTTCCTAGTTTTTATTGGGGAGAAGCAGTATTAGCTGCAACTTTTTTGATCAACCGTTTACCTTCACGGGTCCTTAACAATATCAGTCTTATTCATTCCATGACTTCCTCCTTTCCTTCTGTTCCCATATTGCAGAGCCTTCCACCAAGAGTGTTTGGATGTGTTGTCTTTGTCCATGTTCATAAACAACATCGGAGTAAGTTGGATCCTAGGGCTCTTAAGTGTGTCTTCCTTGGTTATAACCCTTATAAAAAAGGGTACAAGTGTTATCATCCACCAAGTCGGAAATTTTTTGTTTCTATGGATGTCACCTTTCAAGAATGTGAAACATATTTCCTGGGTGGGCTCTTAAGTGTGTCTTCCTTGGTTATAACCCTTATAAAAAAGGGTACAAGTGTTATCATCCACCAAGTCGGAAATTTTTTGTTTCTATGGATGTCACCTTTCAAGAATGTGAAACATATTTCCTGGGTCCTCATCGTCAGGGGGAGAACAGTTCTTCAGAAGACTCGTCCCCTTCCTTCTTTGAGTCTGGATCAATCTTCTCTCTTCCTAGTGTGTCTGCTCCTGGTGTGTCAGAACCTTCAAATACACCTGAGATACAACCCATACTGTCTCACCAGCAACCTCAATCGTCTGTACCACTGGTAAGTCCTGAATCTCCTAATTTCTTCTGAGTCTCCTGAATCTCCTGTTTCTGATTCTAATATTATTTCCTCTCATGATTTGTCTATTTCTTCTGATATCTCTAATGACTTACCCATTGCTTCTACTTCTGATTACTTACCTATTGCTCTTAGAAAAGGAAAAAGATCTTGTCACAAGAAAACTTGTTCCTCCTGTCCCTCTTGTACTCAATACCCTATCTCCCACTTTGTTTCCTCTGCTAATCTTTCTGTGCAGCACAAAAGCTTTGTTTCAGCACTAGATTCTATTGCAATCCTAAAATCAGTACATGAAGCCTTGAAAGATAGGAATTGGGCTCAAGCCATGCAAGAGGAGATGAATGCTTTGGAGAAAAATAAAACATGGGAGGTTATTGATAGACCCAACGGAAAGAAAGCAGTAGGGTGCAAATGGGTTTATGCCCTGAAATATAATTCTGATGGCACTCTTGAGAGATATAAGGCTCGATTAGTGGCCAAAGGTTACACTCAAACCTATGGCATTGATTATGAAGAAACCTTTGCTCCAGTTGCAAAGATGAATACAGTGAGAATCTTGTTATCCCTTGCTGCCCATTACAATTGGGATATAAATCAATTTGATGTGAAAAATGCTTTCCTCAATGGTGAGTTAGAAGAAGAAGTCTACATGAAAATTCCGCCTGGTTTTGATTCTGTGAAGGGGGAAAATAAAGTTTGTAGATTAAAAAAGGCCTTGTATGGATTGAAGCAGTCACCTCGTGCTTGGTTTGGAAGATTTACTAAGGTTATGATGACCTTAGGATACAGACAGAGTCAAGGAGATCACACTCTTTTCTTCAAGCACTCCCAAAATGGGAAGCTTACTGTGCTCCTTGTATATGTTGATGATATTATTATCACAGGTGATGATTTTGTGGAGAGACAGATTCTGCAAACACGGCTTGCCTCTGAGTTTGAAATCAAAGACCTTGGGAAACTGAGATATTTCCTAGGGATAGAAGTAGCTCATTCAAGCAAAGAAATTTTTATCAGCCAGAGGAAATATGTTCTTGATCTTCTCAAAGAAGCAGGAAAGCTCGGGTGTAAACCCTCTAATACTCCTATTGAGCATAATCACAAGATGGGCTATGAAGAAGAGAGTCTTCCAGTTGATAAAGGACAATATCAACGGCTAGTTGGGAAATTGATATATCTGGCCCATACTAGACCAGACCTAGCTTATGCTGTTAGTGTTGTCAGTCAGTTTATGCACGATCCAAAAGAAAAACACATGCAGGCAGTAAAGATAATTCTTCAGTATCTTAAAGGTACTCATGGTAAAGGATTGTTATTCCGACGTGATGGCAATCTATCTTTAGAAGTCTACACAGATGCTGATTATGCTGGATCCGTGACTGACCGTCGTTCTACCACTGGTTATTACATGTTTCTTTGCGGTAACTTGGTGACATGGAGAAGTAAGAAACAAGATGTGGTTGCCAGATCAAGTGCAGAAGCTGAATTTCGAGCTATGGCTCAAGGCATTTGTGAGTTACTGTGGCTGAAAATTGTACTTGATGATCTCAAAATAAAATGTGAGGGACCTATGAAGCTGTTATGTGATAATAAGTCCGCTATTTGTATAGCTCATAATCCAGTCCAACATGATTAGACTAAACATATTGAGGTTGACCGTCATTTCATCAAAGAGAAACTTGATAGCGGGTTGATTACCACTCCATACATTCCCACTGGGCGTCAATTAGCTGATCTATTAACAAAGGGGCTTCCTTCAGACAGATTTCAAGAACTTACTAGCAAGCTGGGAATGATAAATATCTATTCCTCAGCTTGAGGGGGAGTGTTGTAAAAAATAATTATATATTATTATTTAGTCATTTATTTGTTGTATTGGGCCAAGCCTATTAGGTCAAAATTAGGTCAAGTATTCTCTATAAAGAATCCTTTGTACAGATTATTTACAATTCTATAATATATTAGAATACCCTTTTTCAAGTGTATTCATCTGTTAACACTATCATAGCAGTAGGAAAACCATCAGAAATATAGAGGGAAAAGAAAATGAACATGTTTGTTTTTCACTCAAAATAAAATGAGTTAAGAGTTTAGAGATATGTGAACATTAAACGGTTACGTAAATCATGGCTTGGTTTTATATATATTAAACCCGATAGAAATGTACATTAAAATGAGAAGAAGTCAAAAATTAATATTTAGGACTATATCCTAATATCTGAACTGAAACATTACGTGACAAATAAACAACGTAGAACGCTGTAACTGTTAATTAAACTATTTAAGAGAAGTATCACGTGAACTAAGTAACAACTGCACTCAAGGTTTATGTAAATTCAATATATAAATATAAGATAACTACAACAATTCAAAACAAGGTTGTGCAAGCAATCCAGGCAAATTAAACATAAAAAGAGTAAGAGATAAAAGGAACATAATAATCTCACCTTGATCTCTCGCTTAAGTTGGCCTTTCCCTATCATTTCACGAAGAAGCTTCTCTGCCTTTTCTTTCTCATTTTTGTTTAGAAGAGTGCGAATAATTGTTTCTTAAGTTACAACATCAGGCAGGTAATCATTCACTTTCATTTTTGAAAATAAAGTTGTAGCTTCATCAATCAAGCCATGTTTGCATAACCCATTGATCATAATATTGAGTCCAAACATCTAGACTATAGCCATTGATCAAAAGATGATGAAAAAACTCTTCTGCAGTCTTCAGTCTTCAGTCTTCCCCCTTTGCACGAAACATTCAGAAGAATATTGTATGCAAACACATCTGGATAAATTCCTTTGTTAACAATTTTCTGAAACAATGCAATTGCCTCATCAAGATGTTGTGCTTTGCATAGAGCATCCAACAACATACTGTAAGTAATTAAATTAAGGGCTTGACCATTTCCATGCATCTCATTTACAATATCTTGCACACATGTTATTCTCCCAGATTTGCACAAGCCATCGATAAGAGAATTGTATGTCATAGTATCAGGAACTAAATTTGTGCGACACATTTCTTTGAAGAGAGTTACAGCTTCATCCACCTTTTTTTTTTTGCAATATCCATTAATCATAATGTTATAACTATTAACATCTGGTGTCAAACCTATTTTGTCCATATAATCAAATAGCTTTCTTGCCTCATTCACTTTATTGATTAAATATCTTTTGTCCATAACAATTGATTAAGATGCTCAAACTAAAAATGGAAGGAGTGATACCCCTAGACTCCATAAGGGCAAAAAGTGAAATAGCAGTTCGGTATTCTTTCATCTTAACAATAGACCCTAGAATCTTGTTAAATTCATAACGGATGGAGGATGACGTTTAGCGAGAGTGGTAATGAAAGAGGAGACAACATCATCAATGTTACGAAACCCAAAAGTTGGGGAATGAGAATATAACCTCGAAGAGAAGTGGAATTTGGAAAGAGTATACCTCGTTGTTGTATTCAACATTGTGGAGTGTTGTGTTAATGTTAAATGTTCCTCTTCTCTCGATCGTTACTCTAAGTTGAGAAACTCCCTATGTAGAAATGGATGAATAATTTAATGACTTGTTTTGTTTAGGGCACGATGAATACTAATGTATAGATAAAAGTGAATGAATTTGTTGTTATTAAATTTTGACAGTATGAAATAAATAGAATAATTGAACACTATTGTGAGGGAGATATATTGAATATTGAGAATAAGCGGACGAAAAACACGATGATGAAAGAGATGTTCTGTCTGTCTCAACGTAATTATTGGTAGTAAGTAATTTTTGGTTAGGGTTTTGGATGAAGCAAAATAAGAAAAATGTCTTATTTAAATAAGAAAAAAAGGAAACTAAATAAGATGGCTAATCAACCCCTTTGATTAATGCCCCCATTACTTCTCAATCATATTGGGTAATTTTATTTTATTTTTATCCAATAAATTCAATTGATTGGTTTCCCTAATTTTAGCCAATCAATATAATTAATTGGTTTCCTTAATTTTTTCTATTGTTATCAAATATAATTTCATGACTATATTTAAATTCAAATTTTAAAATTAGAATTTAAATTAATTTTATTTTTATTAATTTGTGTGTGACTATAGGCTTTCAAAGCTTGATGCATGAAAGATTTCATCTTCTAGCTGTTCCATCAACACAACCTTATCTCATAGAACAATACAAATGCTAAACTGTTCTGTTCATTGTTGAAATATTAGGTTTATCTTTTCTTTTTTTGGGTACATTATTAGGTTTATCTTTATTCAGCATGACAGGGAATACCGGCTATTCTTCTTATATTGGGATAGTTATCTTCCAAATTCACTCCTCAAACGTATAAAGCTTACGTCATGAATTAAAATAGCAAATTAAATATATGTTTGTTTGGGGTCCCTACATACAAACTGCATAGACAACATAAACTAGCATTGACTCGGTGATATCCCCTTCACTAAACTAATTTAACTACATTCAAATTCAGTACCTCAGTTTATGATTGTGCAAACAAGAAAATAGATTTAAAATAAGATTGAGACATAAAAAAGAGGGAAGAAAAAGCTTTATTTTTGTTTTTAATTTTTTTCCATATCAAAGCAAGTAGTAAGCCTAAGATGTTTCGAGGTGGAGTTCTAGTGGAAGGAGCGATTCCCCTAAATTCCATCAGAGCACAAAGTGAAATAGCAATAGGGAAGTGTTTCATTTTAACAATAGATCTTAAGATCGTGTTAAATACCACTATGGATTGAGGATGACACTCGGTGATAGTGATCAAGAATTAGGACACAGCATCATCAATGTTATGAAAACCCACCAGTTGTGAAATGAGTATGTAACCTCACGGCCACATACAGTAGCAGGGTGGGTGTAGCTCAAAGAGAAGTGAAATTTGGAATTGGACCAGATATTGAAAGGTAATCAAAACTATAAATAAAAGCTCCACTAGTTTAGTCATAAGTTATCCGCTAATCAAAATCAACAAATTTTCCCTAAACAAGATTGCCTATTGTATTCACAGGCAAGAAAATGCAAAAGCTCAAGAAAATCAGGGCATTCATAATTTTAGAGTTAAAAAAAAAACTAAGCAACAATGGAAAGCCAAGAATTTAATGAATCTTCATCATACATCACATTAACAATGGTACCACTGAAACGTGACAAACCGTGTAGTATAAAGGCAACCCGGTAAAATCCCAATCATGAAGACATGCACAAATGCAAACAGAGGACATGTTTACCAATAATAGCCATCAAACATTCAAAATTTCCAAGAGCAAAGCATACAAACCTTTAGGCTTTCAAAGCTTGATGCATGAAAGATTTCATCTTCTAGCTGTTACATGCCTATTACCATCAACACAATCTTATCTCATAGAACAAGAGAAATGCCCCCTTATCTGCTAAACTGTTCTGTTCATTGTTGAAATATTAGGTTTACCTTTTTATTCAGCATAACAGGGAATACCGTCTATTCTTCTTATCTTCGGATAGTTATCTTCCAAATTCACTCCTCGAACGTACAAAGCTTACGTCAAGAATTAAAATACCAAATTAAATATATGTTTGTTTGGGGTCCCTACATACAAACTGCATAGACAACATAAACTAGCATTGACTCGGTGATATCCCCTTCACTAAACTAATTTAACTACATTCAAATTCAGTACCTCAGTTTACCCTTTGGCGTGAAAGACCATTCAGCCTAATTTCAGATTTGAACCAAAATGAGAACTTAAATTTATGATTGTGCAAACAAGAAAATAGATTTAAAATAAGATTGAGACATAAAAAAATACGGAAGAAAAAACTTTATTTTTGTTTTTGTTTTTCCATATCAAAGCAATTAGTAAGCCTAAGATGTTTCGAGGTGGAGCTCTAGTGGAAGGAGTTATTCCCCTAAATTCCATCCAACCACAAAGTGAAATAACAATAGGGAAGTGTTTCATTTTAAAAATAGATCCTAAGATCTTGTTAAATTCCACTATGGATTGAGGATGACACTTGGTGATAGTGATCATGAATTAGGACAGAGCATCATCAATGTTATGAAAACCCACAAGTTGTGAAATGAGTATGTAACCTCACGGAAAAATACAGTCGCAGGGTGGGTGCAGCTCAAAGAGAAGTGAACTTTGGAATTGAACCAGATATAGAAAGGGAATCAAAACCATAAATAAAAGCTCCGCTAGTTTAGTCATAAGTTATCTACTAATCAAAATCAACAAATTTTCCCTAAACAAGATTGCCTATTGTATTCACAGGCAAGAAAATGTTTTCTTTGAATAATCCAAAAGCTAAAGAAAATCAGGGCATTCATAATTTTAGAGTTAAAAAAAGCTAAGCAACAATGGAAATCCAAGAATTTAATGAATCTTCATCATACATCACATTAACAATGGTACCACTGAAATGTGAGAAACCCTGTAGTATAAAGGCAACCCGGTAAAATCCCAATAATGAAGACATGCAAAAATGCAAACAGAGGACATGTTTACCAATAATAGCCATCAAACATTCAAAATTTCCAAGAGCAAAGCATACAAACCTTTAGATAAGACGAGGAGATCACACAATTAAAACCAATAAATAACATTTCTGCAGTGCAGACTAACGTTGCTTTACACCAAGCCTAATTCTTTAACCAATCCAAAGGCATACATACCTTTGTGACAGCTAAGGAAAGAAAGTGCATGATACTTCTGCAATCCTCAATATGTTAGGGGAAAGAAATATCCACTTTGAAACAATAGCCTTAGACCTTAGTTCACAGCCAGCTTCCACAACAGACCTGTGCTCAGCTCATTGAGAATATCAAGAGAAAGGAAACACCTTTTGTAAGGCGATAAAAAGACTGACAATGTAAATATTTAGTCTTCAGGATGAGCATATTTTATTTTCAAGAATCTGTTCCACCTCCTGGGGAAAGGTAGACATTGAATCCTGAATAGAAGAGGAGAGAAAAAAAATCTATTCAGAGCAGAGCTAACAAAATAGAGATACTATAGAGTAACTAGAATTACCATAAAATTAAAATGTAAACCTTCTATAAAACTTTAGTAACATTTGAAAAGATGTTTTGGTTCCTTCTAGAGAAGTAATATAAAACCACCGCTCCCCATTCAACCCTGACAAGTGAGGGTAGAGGTAAGGAAAATCTTTGTTCACAGTCTTACCCTTACATATTTGCAAAGATAAAATCTCCTACATTCCAACTTATTGCCTTTCAATCACATAGCAATAGCTTTACCACTCCTCGAGGCTCATCCTCTTCAGAGAAATTTAGAGAAGTAATATAATGACAAAAAAATTGCAAAAACCTTAAGAAGTTCGATTTGACATTCCAAATAAAGTATATCATAGCACTAGGCAAAAGAAATGAACATGTTTCTGTTTTGTTTTTATCACTCACGGTAAAATGAGTTAAGGTTTAGAGATAAATAAACAATGACTAATCACATCAATCATGGCTCGGTTTTTAATATATTTGGCCAGATACAATTGTAGAATAAAATGATAATAAGTCAGAACTCAATATTTGGGACACTATCCAGACATTTGAACTGAAACACTACCAGACAATCAATGACTTAGAACACTGCAACAGTTAATTAAACTGATTAGGAGTATTATCATGTGAACTAAGTAGAAGCAGCAGCACAAGATTAGTGTTAAGTCAACATATAAGATAACTAAAACATCTTAATACAAAACAAGATTCTTCAAGCAATCTAGGAAAATAAAACATTAAAAAAAAAGTGAGAGTTACATGAAAATAAAGTTGTTGCTTCATCAAACAAGTCGTGTTTACAGAACCCATTGATCATAATAGTATAAGTCCAAACATCTATACGGCAACCATGGTTCAAAAGATGATGAAAAAACTCTTCAGCAGTCTTTAGTCTCCCACTTTTGCACAAACCGTTCAGAAGAATATTGTTTGCATACAAATTTGGACGTTTTCCTTTGTTAACAATTTGCTGAAATAATTCAATTGCCTCATCAAGGTGTTGGGCTTTGCATATAGAGGTGGCAAAACGGGCCAACCCGCCCCGACCCGCCCCGACCCGCCTTCAACCCGCCAAAAGCGGGGCGGGGCGGGTTGACCCGCCGTTTGATGGTGGGTTGGAAACATCAACCCACCCCGTTTTGAGGTGGGTTGGCGGGTTGGCGGGTCAACCCGCTTAAAAAACAAAAAATAATTAAAAATAATAATAAATTATAATTATTAATTTTATAATATTACTTATTTTTATTTCATATTTCCCTTAATTTTTTTCAATCTCAAGCCTAAATATACGCTAATATTCAGTCAAATATTTTTTAAAAACTTAATTTTGCCTCTATATATGGATAATCTTTGTCATAAGTAAAGTTTTTTTTCTTTATTTTTCTAGGGGAGTACTAAAAAAAATGTATATCACAAAAGCTTAGTGACAAATAAAATACTACCTAATAGTAAAAAAAAAAAAAAATTTGACCCACGGGCCAACCCGACCTGACCCGCCACCAACCCATTTTAACCTACTACTAAACGGGGCGGGTTGAGGTGGGTTGGTGGGTTGAAAAGTGTAACCCAACCCGCCCCGTTTTGGCGGGTTGACGGGTTGACCCGTCGGGTTAAACCCATATTGCCACCTCTATTTGCATAGAGCATCTAACAAGATGCTGTAAGTAATTAAATCAAGGGCTTGACCATTTTGATGCATATCATTTACAATATCTTGCACACATGTTATTCTCCCCGATTTGCACAAGCCATCAATAAGAGAACTGTATGTTACAGTATCTGGAACTAAATTTTTGTGACGCATTTCTTTAAAGAGAGTAACAGCATCATCTACCCTTTTATTTTTGCAATACCCATCAATCATAATGCTATAACTCCAAACATCTGGTGTCAAACTGATTTTGTCCATATCATCAAATAGCTTTCTTGCCGCATTCAGTTCATCGATTAAAAAGTATCCATCCACCAAAGCATTGTGGGTGACAACATTAGGCTTAGGACCTCTTTCCAACATCACATCAAATATCTTTTGGGCTTCTATCATTCTTCCTTCTTTACATAATGCATCAATGAAAATGCTTAGGGTATATATGTTCGGGTTGATGTTTTGTTGAACCATTTCATTCAGCAATCGAGTTGCTTCTTTCAATTGACCGACACAGCAGAAACCATGAATTAGAGAATTGTACGTGACTACATCAGGAGAAATTCCCTGGGCAATGGCCTGAGAAAAGCCCATCTTTGCATAACCCATCAATGATTGTATTGTACATGACTAAATCGGGCCTAATCGGTTGTCTCTCCAGCTTTTGCAGCAACTCAACGGCAGCTCTTACTTCTCCCATTTTACATAACCCGTTGATCAATGTACCATAACTAAACTCATCAAGCCTAAATCCTATTGCTCTTACCCTGTCATGAAATTCCAGAGCTTCCCTAATCTTTCCACTAAGACAGAGTCCTTTTAATAGGGTATTCAAAGTTATTGTATCCATTTCGTAACCCATCTTGATAATCTTACCCAAACCAGAAAAAGCAAAATCCATCCGACCCAAGTGGCAATAACAATTGATCAAGATGTTCAAACTAAAAATGGAAGGAGTGATACCCTTAGACTCCATAAGAGCAAAGAGTGAAAGAGCAGTTGGATATGCTTTCATCTTAACAATAGATCCCAAAATCTTATTAAATTCAATAATGGATGGAGGATGACGCTTAGCGATAGCAGACATGAAAGAGGAGACAACATCATCAATGTTACGAAACCCACAAGAATATAACCTCAAAGAGAAGCAGCAGTGGAATTTGAAAAGAGCATACCTCGTTGCTGTATTCAACATTGTGGCGTCTCGTGTTAATGTTAAATGTTTCTCTTTACAATACTTTCACCGCGGGGTTCTTCTTCTCTCGATCGTTACTCTTAAAGTTGAGAATAGAATGGATGAATAGTCTGTACCAAAATAAAAATAAAAATGGATTAATAGTTTGATGACTTGTTTTTGTTTAGGGCAAGATGAATACTAATGTATAGATAAAAGTGAATGACTTTGTTATTATTAAATTTTGACAGTATGTAATAAATAGAATAATTGAACATTATAGTAAATTTTGACTTTGTTATTCTTACTCATCATAGCAATTAAGTAAGACGCAAGTTTTTTATAATAATATATCAACATATAATCAAATGATAATTTGTACAAATATAAAGTTAATATCACAACAAAATAAAACTTTTATCTAAATGTGACATATATAATATCAAGTTATTTGACTTAATGGAAGATAACACTCAATATCATTGTCATAGTTTAAAATAAATTAAATCGACTTGTCAAACTAATTGATTTGAGAACCAATCCACTAATTGATCTAATCATACTCTAATTATCAATGTATAAAAGAAAAACCTTAAAAACATGATGAGGTGTTTGGTAAGAGAATTTTTTTGGGTGCCTAGAATAGTTGAGATGAGTTTCTCAATTGACCATGTTTGGTAAGAGGTTTTAAAAAATTTGCATTGCAATCTCAATTTGTGTAAGAGAGTGATATTCTCACTACCCCATCAAACCAAAAAGTAGGGGAAAAAAAAAGCAATAGATACAAATATTCCTTCTCAAAAAATATGCCAAAAGAAAGATGGAGAGAGAGTCTTCTTTGTATTAAGTCAAGGGTTAGTTTGGTAGTTTTATCTCATTTTTTCATCAATATTTTACCTTCAACTAAACGTAGACTCAGAAAATTTAACTCAATTTTTCTGATAATATTTCGGCTTACCAAACAATTTTTTTTTCAAACTTTCTCACTATATTCCTAGTAATTACATTCCCTAAGGGGCGTTTGGTAGAAGAGAAATTTTTTTATCGTGGAATCACGATTTTCAGGAATATGATGGGAAGATAAGTTTTCTGGGAATGTTATTAAAAAGTTGTTTGGTAGACTAAAATATTTCTGGGAATATTTGGTTAATTTTCTTGATGTTATGTTTAGTTGTATTAAATTTTTCCTTGTCATAGAAATCATAGAATACTGTAACGCCCCGTGTATACCCGGTTTGTTAACATATCATCGTATTAAGCTGCGCTTAATTAAAAATGCAGAATATCTTTTTCTTTTCAATTATGACGTCATTATACTTAGCCAAGTTGATTACTTAATCAATTTCATAAAATATCGCCGGTATGTAAATTGCAAAAAGACATCTAACTGAAATACCTCATAATATAGATAAAGTGAGTATCTATGTCACAGATTCCCTACACGTAGTCCGGACAATTATCCTGATACATTAATACAACTCCAACATAAAGCAAGGCATAATCAAGTCTATGTGGCATGGACAATCCCCATGCTCACCAAATCAACAGCATAACCAATAGAGTCTCAGCAGAGAAATCCATAAACTGAAGCTAAAAGTATAAGACAGTAAATAGGATCCAACATCCAATCATAACAGCATAAGCAGTATAAACATGTAACATCTATCAGCTAAGCTCTGGCCTCCTGCCACTAGAGGTCTCAACCCCCGCATTACCTGAACCTGAAATAAGCATTCCTCAAACGTAAGGTGAGATCTCTTAACCAGAAATCTCAGTAAGACAAGGGGTCCTCAAGGATCTTCCACCCCAAGCTCACTTACATGTGCAATATAAGTTCCAAAGGTAGTAATTCAATATAAGTTCCAAAACTCAATGCAGTGCAACAAATATTCATGCCATGTGTGTTGTAACTATTCTACTGGCTAGAGAAATGCAGGAATACGTCAATTACCTACAGATAGTACAAGGAACACCGCTTTCACCTCACCCACAGCCTCACCATATTGTATGTACTACATACTCAGGCTTACCATATAGGTGGAACACCACATGCATATCATAAAGGCACTAGCATATAACAGCTCAATAGCATTTCCAAAACATAAAAAGCATGTAACACAGCATGCATATAACCATACCCCCATGGGACATGATGGAACCATAACATGGCTAAACTGAGGACACGAAAGCTTACCTTGCAAGCTAACTATCCAATGCCAAGAGTCCACACAAGCTCAAGGCCCACAAACAGCACAATCACAATCTGCCCATACCATAATTAATCATCAATAATCATAGTTCAGATTCCACTAAGTGATTAAGGTTTTCTTACTCATTTTAACTCATTTCATGCTGTTTCTACACGAGGTATTCGAATACTCCACGAGTAGTATTCGAACACTCCAGCTCTCTAGAAAGTATTCGATTACTTTCATTTAAGTATTCGAATACTACCAAGTATCCGAATAATTTTCCCCCCATTATCCGAATACCACGGTATCCAAATACCAAACCTCACTATATTCGAATACTTTCTAGTATTTGAATACTTCTTCAAAGGTATCCGAATACTTTCCTTTCCAGAAAAGTATTCCAATACTCCTGCCATGAGTATTCGACTACCAGATTAAAACTACCATTGCAAATATTTACCAAATACTCTAAGATTTTACTATGTTAAACTAGACATCTCAATATTTCCAATGACATATCTTATGCCTCAATCGGAGTTGTATAACTCCGGTTAAGATTTTTGCAAAGTTCCTACAACAAGCTGAATTTCCAGCAATAGAGTCTTGACTTCAAACATACACTGAGAGAAATACATTTATCAAATGGATCTTAAAATTTACACGGTTGTATCCCTATGTGTTAGCTTTACATAGGTCCAAACCTCACTCAATTTAGAGCTCTGAAGCTTGAGATATCATAATTTTACTAAACTAGGTCGCTGTTGTCTCGCGAAGTATTCGATTACTGCCTTTTTCCAGGAAGTATTCGAATACTGCCCGAAAAGTATTCGAACACTTCTTCGACAGAAAGAAGAAAACTGAGTTTTAAAGTTAAAATCGACCTCCAATGATCCAAACTCGATCTGGAGTCCAAGAACTCTTAAACAGATGTTTATTAACAAGTTATGAACCCAGAAACACCTTCCTTTTATCAAATGTTTCAAGTTACGATTTTTAATTGCTTAAACAAGCTTAAAACATCAAAACACACAAGGGTGATCATGGTATACCTTCCAATGTACCAAAACTTCGAAAATGAGGTAACTTGGAGCTCCAAACTCAGCTCCAAGGTTCTGACTTGGTTCAAAAACGAAAGTGGCACACCAAGCTTGGTCCTTTAAGCCAAAAGATCACTTCTTGGCACCACAAATGACATGAACAAAGGTTTAACCCTCACAACTCAGAATCACAGCTCCTTAAGCCCCCAAATGCTGAACCTAAACTCAGAAAGAGGTTCCCTACTCACCACCAAGGCCAGCCCTTACTCACTCAAGTGTTTGGGAGAAGATTCAATGAAGAACAAGGAAGAAAAGGCCACTTGGCTCACAAGGTGCAAGGTGACCAGCAATGGAACAGTACCAAAGGGCTAATCAGCCTCCAAAGGTCACGTAGGAATAGAATAACCTAGGGTTTTGAGCCCAAAAGTCATATATATAGCTCACTTAACCTCAAACACACAGTATTAGCAAAAATAGCTACGCTTAGCATTTTAATCCCAAACTTAGGATTCTGAACCTACTCAATTTTACAAGATTTATCATATTTTTCTTATATTTTTCGGAGTACCTTTCTGGTACGCGCTTTCCATAGCCAGTATCAGTTTCTGGCACCAGTTCTCATTATTTTAACTTGAAACTCGTTTTACAAGTCCTATATATTATTCTAGGAATTATCATGCACTTATTATAATTTTCTGGGATACTTTTTCGGTACGCATTTATACTGACTAACAGAACCGGTATCCGCGTTTTTCGTCCGAAAAACGGCTTTCAAAATTATTACTCACTTACTATAATTATTAGAGCCTCATAATAATTATTAGGGTCAATTATAGAATTATCTCATAATTATCTAATTAATTTCCTTAATTAGCGGTGCGGGTTCTTACAAATACCATCATTTGGATGGTATTTTCAAAAAAAATTACACATAGAATAAAATTCTGGGAAAATCATATTCCCGAAAAAATTTTAAAAATTTTGAACCAAATGTGGGTAAATACGATTACCACTCAGTTTTCCAGGAATATTAAAAAAAATATTGTAACAAACATCCCCTTATAAAACTTTTTTCCTCTACCAAAAGGCCTCCTCAAACAAATCTTGAACTGATCTATGTGATTGGACCATTTGACTTAGTTTAATTTTGGCACCAAAATGAAATTATTGATAATACGTTACTTTTATCATCATAAAATTAAGAAAAAATTATTTGTCATTTTAATGGACACAATTTTCTATCATTTTAAAAATAAAAACAAATTTTTTTTGTTCTTTGCTTTTAGGCACACTATTTATTAAACACATATTGTAGAATGTGTTATTAGGATTTAAGAATTGGAACAAATAAAATTCTATCTCTTTCTCTCTTTTTTTTGTATATAAAGGAAATAAGAAAACTACACAGAAACGTATCTAGGCACCAAAGTGCCTCTATTATCCTCTAAGACCAGCTCCTCACATCCAACAGGAACACTGTTATACCAGTGTGTGTTCCAGTCTGCATGAATACTGTGAGAACTCGCACCGTTAATTAAGGAATTTAATTAATAAACTATGAGAAATAGGAAATGATTCCATAATTGACCCTAATAATTGTTATGAGGCTTTAATAATTATAGTGAATGAGTAATAATGCTGAAAGTCGCTTTTCGGAATAAAAGTGCAGATACCGGTTCTGCTAGTCGGTATAAATGCGTACTAAAAAAGTATCCCGGAAAATTAATGTAAGTGCAAGATAATTACTAGAATGATATGTAGGACTTGTAAAACGAGTTTCAAGTCCAAATAATGAGAACTGGTGCTAGAAACCGGTACTGGCTTTGAAAAGCGCGTACCGAAAAGGTGCTCAGAAAATTATAAAAAAAATATAATAATTCTTGGAAAAATGGGTAGTTTCAGAATCCAAAGTTTGGGAATAAAATCCTAAGCGTAGCAATTAAAGTTAATACTGTGTGTTAATTGGGTAAGTGGCTATAAATACCCTTATTAAGGGCACATTGCCCTAGATACCAGATTTCCTACGTGAGTTATGTTGGTGGCTGACCAGAAACACAACCTTTGGGTTTTCTCCTTCCTTTTCTTGAGGTTCAAGGCCTTTTCTTCCTTGATTCTTCACTTTTTCTCTTGTAAACACATTGGGCGAGTGTGAACAATCCTTGTGAGTGAGAAAGAGACTTCATTTCTGAGTTTGGCTTCTGTCTTGGGAGGGTGAGCTTGCTGTTTTCACGTTTTGGGAAGGAGGGAGCTTTCCTTAGGTGTTTTGGAGCTTTAAGGAGCTTCCTTATTGTGTAAAAGAACCACCTTTGTGCACTATTTTCGTGTTCAGTGAGAGACACAACCTTGGAGCTGTTGTGTGAGCTCCAAGAGCACCCTTTTTCTGAGTTTGAGCTTTGGTAAGCTTCATCACCTTTGATCTTGAGTTTAAATGCTTAAAAATGGTACCTTGATGCATCTAATGACTAAAAGATGATAACTTGTTGTTGGGTAATGTTGAACACACCTAGAAATGTATGTTTAGGTGTTTAAAATCGGTAAAAACCCAACCTTGGAAGGATATCTTCACGAAATGCATTTTCTGCACTCTGTCGTGAAATATCCGGATATGTGCCCGATGAATATCCGGATATGTGATATCCAGATATGGGTTTTGAGTATCCGGATATTGGGTATCCGGATATGGGATTCTGGATATCCGGATATTGCATATCCGGATATGTCCAGTGAGATATCCGGATATTGTATATCCGGATATGGTCCCGAGGAATATCCGGATATTCTGGGATTTCATGGAACAGTAGCTGTGATGTGTGTACAGTAGGCTATTGGGGGTTTGTGGACCCTAGTTTGATGAAGTTGAACTTCTGTAATTAATGAACTAAGTCAGAATCATTGTGATTAAGGACTTATGGCTTGGTATGGAGCCTTAAGACGTAAAACGTAAGGAAATGTGTTGTCTTTAAGTTATATGCTTGTGTTGCATTATTATTGATATAGTATTGGTCCATAACAGATTGTGAATCTGCTGTGTTCGGACTTTGAGCTGTGGACTCTTGGCTTTGGGAGTTAGCTTGCAAGGTAAGCTTTCGTGTCCTCGGTTTAGCCATGTTGTGGTTCCACCATGTCCCATGGGGGTGTGGTTGTATGCATGCTGTGTTACATGCTTTGAATACTTGAAATGTTGTTGAGCTTTATGTGTAATGACTTTTAATATGCATGTGTTGTTTCATCTTGACGGTAAGCCTGAGTATGTAGCGTCATACGATATGGTGATCCGGGGTGAATGCAAGTAGCGTCTTGCACTAGTGTGGGTATTTAGCGTATGTAAATCCTGCATTTCTCTGGACAGTAGAATAGAATTGACACATATGACATGATTATCTGCTGCATTGCACTATTTTAGAACTAATGATGATATCTGTTTTTAAACTTATATTGCACATGTAAGTGAGCTTGGGGTGGAAGATCCTTGAGGACCCCTTGTCTTACTGAGATTTCTTGTTTAGAGATCTCACCTCACGTTTGGGGAATGCTTATTTCAGGTTCTGGTAGTTTGGTGACTGATGCCTCTGGCAGCAGGAGGCCAGAGCTTAGTTGATGATTTTGATGTTTGCTGCCATGACTGGATATGGATGTTGTTTATGTTTTCCTCTATTTATGTTTACGTTACTTTTGAGACTGATGTGGGGCATGTTGCCTTATTTGAGTGAGCATGGGGATTGTCCATGACACTTTATGTTAGTGCTTTTGATTTGGAGTAGCATAAACTATTAGATGGTCTGGTCTACGTTGTTGTAGTCCCGTGACTAGAGCCACATTTTTTTTATCTATGATTATGAGGTATATTCAGATAGCTGTTTTATTGCAATTACATACAGACGATATTTTATTAATTGATTAATAAGCAAGTTGGTAATGATAATGACATCATAATTGAAAAGAAAAAGATATTCCGCATTTTAAATTAAGCGCTTCTTAATACGATAGTATGATAACATTACCGGATATATACAGGGTGTTACATTTATGGTATCAGAGCAATGGTTCGAGAGAAAAGCTTGTATGTATTGCAATAGCTAGGATGTTTTGTTGTGTCTGTCTTGTGTGTTTACTCCGTCGAATTTTATTATGATAATGCATATGTAATCACACTGTGTGGGCCTGATCAACTCATAATTTATGTAACTTGTGCAGAGTCATGGTAAGGTCCGAGAGAACACGGGAGACTTCTGAGGATCAATCCGATCCTATCCTGACTGCATTGGCTGAGATGCAAGCGGCTAGGTTAGCCGATCAGGAGGCCACTAGATTGGCCAACGCGGCAATGATGGATGCTGTTCGCGAGGCGAACCGGATAGCCGCAGAGGAGGTTCGTGAAGCGAACCGGAGGACCACTGAGGATGTCCTCGAGGCGAACAGGATGGCGAACATGACGATGATGAGAGTCATGTTGGAGGAGATGAGGGCTGGTCCTGCTGTAGGCCATGCACCACCACCGCCACCGCCGCCACCACCTAGTGTTTAGGATGAGAGCCTGAGTCACATTGGCAGTGCTGCTCATGTCGCTGAGACGAGGGAGACTCTTGTAGAGCCTGCTGAGGATCGTGATGTGATAGACCGCCGGCTGAATGCTTTCAAGAAGCATAAGCCACCTGTGTTTGAGGGGTCTTTGGATCCTATTGCTACTGCTAGATGGCTGGAGTCGTTGGACAAGATATTTCGGGTCATGCAGTGTACAGATCCGCAGAAGCTTATGTTCTCGACTTATATGCTGAAGGGCGATGCCCATGAGTGGTGGACGAAAACCTGACAACTCCCTGCTCTCTATCCAGTAGCTCCATACCTCTTGACTCCAGTGACAACTTCTAAACACATGATCAACATCTTCCCCAACCTTGTTGCATCTAGGACATAAATCAGAAGCAGACATATGCCTACGGTATCTCTCTGCATTAGTTAAAAGCTTGTTCCCAGATAGAAGCCATAGAAAGAACTTTACTCTTTGTGGTCCCTCCCACTTCCAAACTGTGTCCCAGCTCTTGGTAGAGGCATGCATGCCCTGGCAGGATAAAGATCTGTATGCAGAGCAAACCTTGAAGGATCCACAGTTAGAGAGGGTCCAAATCACCTTATCCTTACCATCCATGTTCGTTGGAGGACATACACTTCCAACAGCATCCAGAATGTCCCTGCTAAGAAGTGTATCAAGTTTTCCCCAATCCCAATCACCCCTATGTACACAATCCATCACCCTCTAGTTTTTGTTCTCCTCAGGTATATTAGATAACGCATGGTCAACCAATCTCCCAATATTAGGTATCCATCTATCAAACCAGAATGAAGAAGTAGAACCATCTCCAATGCTTACTCTTGAACCTTCCATAACCTGATCCCATACACTCTGAATCCCTTTCCAGACGTTGGATTCCATGCTTCCTCTCTTGATTTCAGGACTAAAGCCCTCAGCAACCTTATACTTACTGCACAAAATCCTCTCCCACATGCTGTCCTTGTTAGATAAGAGGTTGAAACCAAGCTTCATGGAAAAATCCTTATTAACCAGCGATTGACTCCTGAATCCCAAGCCTCCATCCTTTTTAAAGTTGCAAACTTTCTTCCAACTAACCAAGTGTGTTTTCCTTTGGACTCTTGAAGAACCCCATAAGAAGCTCCTAGTCATCTTTTCCACTTCATTACAAACCCCCATAGGCAGGACAACGACTTGCATGGAGTATGCTGGCAAGGATTCAAGAACTGATTTAGCCAATGTGGCACGGCCTTCCAGAGTTAGAGAGGATTGGTTCCACCTAGACAACCTTCCCTAGACTCTATCCAATACATTCCTGAAAGTGTTCTTAGTTACTCTTTTATGAAAAAGAGGAACTCCAAGATACTTCCCCAGGTCTGGAGTAATCCCAATGCCAAGAGAATCACTAATTTCTTTAGCCCTCCCAAAACTTACATTCTTAGAAAAGAACACTCTAGTCTTCTCCTTGCTGATTTTCTGGCCAGAAGCATCAGAAAAAACTCTTAACACCTGGTTTATCACATGTGCTTGCTCCAAGTTGGCTTCAGCACACAAGATGATATCATCTGCAAAGAACAGACGAGATATAGGTGGAACATTTCTTCTTAACACAATGGGCTTCCAAGCTTCAGTCTCTACTGCCACATGAATTAACTGAGCTAGTTTCTCCATGCAAAGAACAAACAGGTAGGGGGAGATAGTCGATTAAATCTCCCAACAACCATTTAGTCGATTAAAAATGCAAGGTAGTCGATTAAAGAAGGACATATTGGTAGATAGTTTCGAATCAGGGACAAAACGATTATTAATTAACTAATAAGTGGTAAAACGGTCAAATAGCCTCATCTTAAAAATATAAAATGTACTTTACGAAATAAATAGACATTTTTGATTTGATAGTTAAAAACTTATTAAAAGTACTGATGACAATAATTTAAAACCATGATATTAATATTTATCATAAAAGATAAAACTATCTATTACCTACACATAAAAGTATGTGAAACTTATATCAAGTTATGTGAAGAGAAAAAATAAATAAATATAAATCTCATATATTTTTATATGTGTGTGGAAAATAAAATTTTTAACATGAGAAATATTAGTCATTATAATAAATAAGAAAAGTATTTCTCCAGTCATCAGAGATAAAGTTATCTCCAGTGAGCTCAAAACGATGTCATTTTGGAATTATAAAATTAAAAAATTATAATGATAAAGATTAATATAACACTGCAATTATTGGAATTACAAAAATAACTTGATTTTTGTTCCAAAACGACGTCGTTTTGGGCTCACAGGAGATAATTTATCTCCATTGACAGGAGAAATCCTTTATGATAATAAATTTGAGAAAATATTTTTTTATGTTGCAGGAGAATCATTTTCTCCTACTAGTGACCCTTCGATTTTAGTGCAATATTTTTTTTTAATAGATGTGGATCTCATACAAAATGTGTCTATAACATGATTTTTTTTTCCTGTTCTATAAGAAAATTGAAACCCAAAAAATGTATGTATAAGCCCATATAATAAAAGGGATCTATTTATCTCATATTGCATGAGATAATTATCTCATATAACAGAGATAATATAATAAAGATCCATTATTAAAAAATAGTAAATTTCATTACTTTATCCTTATTACATGACATAATTATTTTATGAAATATAAGATAATTATTTCTATGTATCTATCGAGTTGCTTTTTGGATAAATCACTTTATAGTCGGAAACATCTGGTGGGGCTAGCTTTCCGGGATAATGACTAAAATGCTACTGTTCACCGACTTTTTTACCTAAGTATCACGCGAACAGTGTTATTTTCCAATTTGTCACGAGGCAAGTTCGCTACTTGGTGTAGCGAACTCAGTTTACTGATGTGTCACATTTTTAGTGGATGACAAGTATCAAATTTTAAAAAATAAAAAATAAAAAAAATGAAGTTCGCCTAGCATGTAGGCAAACTTGTCCACTAGAAACGTGACACGTCAGCAAACCGAGTTCGCTACACCGAAAAACGAATTTGCCTCCGTGGCAGATTGAGAAATAACACTGTTCGCGTGGCATTTAGGTAAAAAAGTTGGTGAACAATGACATTTTAGTCGGTGCTACTAGCTTTCCCCTCGTTTTAGTCGCGATGACGTGTGTGCTGATGTCAGTCTTTTGCCTTTTACGATTCTTAGTGTCAACACCGACTAGCGCCGCCTCCTTTTCAAGCTGCTTTCCGTGTCTCATCAGTTCACTTCCTTCTTTAGTTTTGTCTATAAATTGCTTCAAACTTTTATAACTTAAACAGCAAAGTGCCTGATAACTATCATCTAACTAGATTGTTATTATTAAGAGAAAATGTCGAAAACAATTAAATTCTTTCAGTTGAACACAGGTGCCAAGATTCCTTCACTTGGTTTGGGTACTTGGCAGGCTGAACCTGGGGTTGTAGCCAAAGCTCTCACCACTGCCATTCAGGTTTATCTCAAATTATTATTATTATTTGTTCAATGGAATACAATGCACCAAAGATAATTTCTCTAATTGTTTTTTTTTTTTGGTTATTAATATGTAAAATTCAAAGGTTTGAATGTAGCTTTTTTTGTTGTTTTTGTTTGAGGAAACAATTTATTAGTTTTGATTTTTCCTAGGTAGAAGAGCTAACTAACCTATTTACTGTTGCTCAGGTTGGATACAGGCATATTGATTGTGCTCAAGCCTATAACAATCAAGCAGAGGTATTCATCATTCAATATAATTACTTTTGTCTTATTTAAGTTTTTTTTTTTCTCTTATTTATTTTTTTATTTTATTTGAGGGCTAGCGTTGAGGACTAATGAGGTTGTTCTGCTAGTTTAGAAAACAGTTTCTTTGAAAAATATTAAATATATTTGAGTTTAGAAAATAGCTTCTTTTGGAAAAAATTTAAACATATTCGAGTTTAGCAAATAGCTTCTTTTGAAGAAAATGCAAGGCTGAAATTGCATTTAATGAATTATCCTCGACAAAAGTTGAGGAGTTTAATTTTTTTTAATTTTTAATATTTATCATATATGTCCTTGCACTACTGTAATGATAAGATGAGTTGTGATAGATTATTGATTGTGGGTTTGATGCTATTTTACATCTGGGAATTTGTTGGGGTTGCTTGTATGTTAATCTTGTTTTGGGAAAAAAGTGAAAGCTCAAGCATTTTTGTAAGTCAATTGACAATTTTTTGTTTTGAATCTTGGCTTTTATAGATTGGTTGTGCTCTCAAGAAGCTTTTTGATGATGGTGTGGTAAAGCGTGAGAATTTATGGATCACCTCCAAACTCTGGTTTGTTATCTTCTTAAAATTCTATACTCTTTCTGGATGTTGGAACAAATAATTGTGTCTGGTTGGAACAAATGTCTGCTTTCTTGACTATGTCCAGGTGTTCAGATCATGCTCCAGAAGATGTGCCAACAGCATTGGACAAAACTTTGCAGGATTTGCAACTTGACTACCTTGATCTGTATCTGGTATTAAATGTTTTAATTGAAATGTGAATTTATGTTGGCAATTTGGTGGAAGATTAAATGCTCTAATTAAATTGAAAGTATGGTTTCTTAATTGAGTAAACTGCATTAGTTTTACACAAAAAAATGTAGTGCTGAGTTTAATTATCAAGGGTTCATTTCATCCATTAATCTCTTCCTTCAAACAGCTACGCTTATTTATTTATTTTTTTGTTTTTAAGATCCACTGGCCAGTCCGCACGAAAAAGGGATCAGTTGGATTCAAGCCTGAAAATCTTGAGCAACCTGACATACCCAGCACATGGAGAGCAATGGAGGCACTTTATGACTCTGGCAAGGCTAGAGCTATAGGAGTTAGCAATTTCTCTTCAAAGAAGCTTCAAGATCTGTTGGAGATAGCACGAGTGCCTCCCGCTGTTAACCAAGTGGAATGCCACCCAGCATGGCAGCAGCAAAAGCTGCATGCATTCTGTGAATCTAAAGGAATTCACCTTTCTGTAAGTATAGCATATATATATATATATTGCTCAAAAGAATACTAACTGTTTAACTAATTTTTACAATTCAGTTGGAATAATTCGAACTCTTACAGCATCATGGCCAGATTCTTATTTCTTCTAACATATATTTTCCTATTTATGGGATTGCTAACAACATTCCATCTCTAAAATTTCACCTTGTCTTCAAAGTGAAGGATCAAGACATATCATGAACTGACAAATAACTCCCCCAGGTCCCATTGCTTGAGTCTCATTGATATAGTATTTAGTTCACTAAAAACCTTTATCGTACCGCTAACAGCATGTGATGAGGTGCCATAACCAGTTTGACCCTTTCTATTGCACTGCACCCCAAAACAAAACATACCATCAGAACTGTCAAGTTGTTTGTTGCTCCTCTCTTTATTGTTTCCCCTATTTGTTCCTTGCAACACTGTTCCACATGTTTATGTTCTTGAAGCCTCCTTCAACCAAAATCTGAAGCATTTTGGTTATGAGAAACATCCCAAGTTCCATCATTACCAAGTAGCTATAATTCATCTGCTTTGGTCGTGAGATATTTTCGCCCTTGCTCTTCCTACCTGTACATGTCGCTCACCTTATGCTCCTCTTCTTTGTCACCATGGCAAGTCATAATTGTGGTAGCTTCCTTATTTCTGTAATGGTTTTTTTCTTATATTTTCCTTCTTTTAGTATGCATAATGAACGTTGCCACCAAAAACAGATAGAGTCTGCTTCCTCCTTGTTACTTGCATAACAGCTGCACTAACAGGATCTTGAACAGCGCCCATATTGTTCTACATCTTTGCTTGCATTTCATGAAGAGATGCTGCTTCCACTTTGATATATACCAGAAAAACAGAGACAAGAGAAAGAGAAAGAAACTAGAGTCTTGTATTGATTCTCCAGTAGTTACAATATGGTGACCGACAACACTCTCCTACAACTGCAAAGCTGCCCCAAAATAACAATATTAAATGTCTATTCCCCAAACAGAATCTTCCCATATCTTTATAATATGACCTCATACAGCATTTCCCAAGTAACAAACTCATACTGCATTTGAGGAAAATGCTACTGCACTTCTTCATATGATTCCCAAGTATTTTAACATGTAGGGAGGTCTTTCCACTGGATTAAGATTTCCGGTTTGCCTTCCCTAGGGTACCTGGTGCCCAACATTGCAACATGATAGAGTTGCAGTTCCATGTCTTCACTAATACAGCTAGGAAGATGTTGTGGCTGTACCTCAGGACTTACCAGTTTTTTGAGTTGTGAAATATGGAAGGCTGGATGGATTTCAGTCGCAGCTAGCAAAGATTACTTGTAGGAAACTGGTCCTATGTGTTCCTCCACCTTATAAGGCCCATAAAATCGGGGACTATATTTTTCATCCACTCTTTTAGCTAAGTTCTTGAAATTATACGGCTGCAGCTTGAGGAATACCTCATCCTCCACCTGAAATTTCATCTGTCTTTTGCCATCTGCTTTGAGCCTAAGTGAGGTTGGTTTGAGCTCATCCAAGACTTGGTTCCTTTCTTTTAAAAGGTTTTCCACTGCATCTACCTCGGGATCCATGATATTCCACCTAATCAAGACCAGTGCAGGTCAGCCATATAAGGCTTGGAAGGGAGGGTCATACCCGCTGCACTTAGAAAAGTGGTATTATACCAATACTCGGCCTATGCTAGCCACTTAGTCCATTTTTTGGGTTTTTAAGCTAAAAAATATCTAAGATAGGTCTCCAATTTACGGTTACCCGCTTTAGACTGCCCAAATGTTACTAAATTTCAAAGTGGTGCCGGTGATTATAAAGAGTTCTTTCCTAAAGTTGGTGATGAACACTCAATCTTGATAAGAAATAATCCTCCTAGGATATCCAAGTAGCCTTATCACTTCTTTGCTAAAAGAAAGAGCCACATCTAGTGCTGAGTATGGGTGCGTGAGAGCCCTAAAGTGTCCATACATAGTCAATTTGTCTACCATTACCATTATTGTGTCTCCCCCACCTTAGGTTTAAGGAACCCCCTAATAAAATCCATTGAGACATCCTCCCAAACAAGTTATGGAATGGGAAGGGGTTGTAATAAGTCAACTGGCTTCATAGCTTGATACTTGTTTTGTTGACACTCCACACAGCTGGATACATAATATTTTAATGCTGGTTTTCATCACCTCCCAGTACATAACAGCAGATATTCTTTTATAGGTTCGGAAGAACCCGAAATGGCCCTCAAAAGGTATAGTATGAGATTCTGCAATTAGTACTGGAATAGAGAGGGATGTAACTGACAAGACTAGCCTGATCTTGTAAAGCAAACTCCCCTGCTCTAGCATGTAATGTTCATGTGCAAGAGGGTCCTTTAACAAGTCCTGTATCACTGTTTAAAACTTTGGGTTTGCCAAAACTTGCTTATTCAGCTCTTCCCCACTTGTCCATTGAATTCCTGACAGGGTCATACAGCACCTTGTAGTAGCAGATTTTCGAGACAAAACATCAGCTGCCTTGTTTTCATCTCCTGGTTTGTAATGTATTTCAAAGTCATATCTGAGCAGCTTTGTTACTTGCTTTTGTGTGTCTGCATTGATCATCTTTGTTCTAGCAAAAATTTTAAGCTTTTTTGGTTGGTCAGAACCTTGAATGCCTTCCAACTATGTAATGTTTCCACTTTTGAACTTTTAAATCCGTTAATAGTATGATAAAACCATTCTTGTTCCTTCACCCAACAGCTTAAACTTTTGGGAGAGATAGTTGCCTAACATGATATCAGAGCCTATGATCAAGTAATCTAGAGTTTGATCCTTGTTGCCCCCATTCTTGTAATAAAAAAAAGTTAAATTTTAGTACAATGTAAACTAAAAAAATGAGCTTGTGTAGTATCCACCGTGTGTTAAGAGATGTAATAAAATCATTCATGTGCCTTCAACCTATAGCTTAAGCTTGTGGGAAAGTTGGTTGCCTAGAAAACACTATTGCCATCAGTTCCTGTTCATACACAGACTTCAATTGTGCTCTTATAGAGAGGGTCTGGATCCAATAAGAGACTGGTCCTCTACTCTTGCATGAGGACTGTCCTTAACTCTTTGTCAATTACAAAATCATTTGTAATATTTTGCATGACTAATACCCACACCTTCACCATGGCTTCGTTGAGTTGTTAAAAGTCGTGGGAGCTTCTTGATGTCAATAAAAAGTTTCCTTTGTGAGCAACTGAGTTAGGGGTGCTGCTATCTTCCCATAACCCTTCACAAACCTTTAACAATATCCTGAGCCCCAAAAATCACCGTTCTTTCAAATCACGTGGATTAGGCCAGTCTACCATGTGCTGTATTTTGGAGGGGTCAGCAGCAACTCTCTGCAGAAATTATGTGACACAAATACTCTACCCTTATTACAACGAAGATACAATTTTTGTTAACAGTTAGCTGGTGGTTAGGATAGAAAAAGTCTCCCTCAAATGCTTCAAGTGTTCTGCCATATCTTTGCTGGAAACAAGTATATCATCAAAGAATACAAGGATAAATCTCCTTAAACGCAGCCTAAAGATCTCATATATGAGAGATTGCAATGTAGGAGAAGTTCTCTAGACCCCAAAAGGCATTAATAAAAATTCATAATGCCCATCATGACTTGAAAGCAGCCTTTTCTACATCCTCATCCTTTACTCTCATCTTACGGTAACCAGATTTTAAATCCAACTTGCTAAATATCCTGGATCCTTCAAGTTCATCTACTAAATTATCTATGGCAGGTATTGAAAATTTGTCAAGAACTATCACCTTGTTAAAGTCCTCTAATATACACAGAAATGTCATTCTCCATCTTTCTTTTCCACGAGCAATACTGGAGAGGAAAATGGGCTGGTATTGAACCTGATGATCCTTACACTAAGCGTGTCTTGAAAACGCTCTATCTCAGTTTTTTGGTTGTGGTGTAATTGATATGGTCAGATATTTGGTGGTTGGATTCCCTCAATCAACCTTGTAACATTATATTGTCCCCAAGTTTTGATAATCACTTGACCCTAAGAATTACTTTGATATCCCCAATTTGAAAGGTAACAAGCCAAAGTATGCCGGATCCCTTGTAGTTTCAGAGCTACTCCATAACAAATGCCTCCTCATTCACCACTTGACCATCCCCCAGAGTGATGTTGAACTTTTTGGGGCTCAAGTTCAATTGCCAATTGTCGACTACCTTCTGGTCCATAAAATTATGCGTAGCTCCACAATCTATCAAGATGAGTACCTCCCTGTATCTTGCCAATTATCAATGTGCCAACGTCCTTCTCCTATGCTCACTTTCAGTCCTCCATCCTTTTCAACTGCTGTTCGAATTCTCTGTCTCATTCTGCCCATTGTCGGTCCTCCATGAATTTCTCCAGCCATTCAAATATATGCTCCAACTTGAACCGGACTAATAATCCGGTGGATATATCCAAAAATATTTGCTCCAGTGACTCCAACCATGCTTCCATTCTCATATAAACTATGATCGAGCTCCCTAGATTCTAGTGCTCTGATACCAATTGATAGAACTTGGTTCAAGAATGCAAAAAAACTAAAAAAGAACTAGAATTTTATTGATATAACTTCTCCCTTAAGATCAAGAATGAATCTTGTAGGTAGAAGATATAGAATATTACAAAGATTGCTCCCAGTCCCTCTAACTCCAGACTCCAAAGAATACTAATTCCCTGGCCGTATCAACTCTTACTGATAAAGCCTGTCACAATCTATCATTTCCCTTCTTTAAGTAGTGGGATCTCACCTTATTCAGTAACTGCACTAACTTCTAACTAATTTTTACTATTCAGTTAGAATGATTCCAACTACTAACAGCCCACATGGCCCACATGCTGCGTATTTCTTCCCACATATATTTTTCTATTTAGGGGTTGCTAACATACATCCAGTGACTTATAGCAAAATGAGAGTCCACGGAAAGAAAAATTATCCATTTTTAGCTAAAATCGTCTTGAGCTTGTTGAAAATGATTTTGGTATATATTCAAATTCAAATGATAGTAACTCAAAAACCATTCATGATTCTTCTAATATTTGTTATTATTTATATGATGAATTTCTCTTCAGGCGTATTCACCACTGGGCTCACCCGGAATTCTCAAGAGTGACATCCTTCAGAATCCAATTATTAAAGTGGTTGCAGAGAAATTGGGGAAGACTCCAGGGCAAGTTGCCCTTCGATGGGGCCTGCAAGTGGGACATAGTGTGCTGCCTAAGAGCACTAACGAGGCCAGGATCAAGGAAAATTTTGATGTATTTGAATGGTCTATTCCTGAAGACCTCATTGTCAAGTTCTCTGAAATCAAGCAGGCAAGTAATTAGTTAGTTAGTTTCATCTATTTTTTTTTTGGATATATCCACAGGATATCTATTCCTAGGGCTCGAACTCGAGAACTCTGGTTAAGAGGGATAAATTTCTTACCACTTGAACCAATAGTTCTTGGTTTTTTCTTTCTCCAAATATTTGTTTCCTCTACGTTTTTTTGTGGAGGTCTAGACCACACCACTATGCATGTGTGGCACAACAATAATAATGCTAGACATGCTTAGAAGCTTCATTTTTTTTTAATACCACATGGAATTTACTCTTGCAGGAGAGGCTAATTAAGGGTACTTTTGCTGTTCATGAGACCTATGGTGCCTACAAGAGCGTTGAAGAACTCTGGGATGGCGAAGTGTGAGCAGTATGCAACATTGAGATGTTGACAAATAAACTGCTTTATGAGCAGACTGATTCTGCTGTTGATCTATTACCATCTTAAAGCCACCAGTTTGAGTGATTAGTATTTTGAGATTCAGAGAAATGTTGTTATTGATGATAATGCAGAATAACAAACCAAGACTATTTTTTCATTTATAGACTTTGCATTTGTATCCTTTTTAATTGAAAAAAATTGTGGGCAGTGAATTTGAAAACTCTAGTGACCAAAAGAAATTTATAGTTGTTAAATATCATAGCAATTCTCTGGTCCTGTCATATATTTATTTTATTTTATGAATTATTGGAAAAACGTAAAAGGACATTGATATACATGAAAGTTGGACAAAGTTTTGGAATTAATTATGGTAGACTTGTTAGTCACCAAAGTGGCCAAATCTTGAAGAGTTGTTTTAATTTCAAATATTATGAATTTTATTTCAATTACCATGGCTCTGATGCTGTGAATCAAGAGGAAATGATAGTAATCCTTGTTATATTAAACTACACAACATTGGTGCTATTATATAGCAAACCAATTGAAGAATACAAAGAGACACACTCAATGTGGAATTTCTACACTATTAACACTAACACTCTTAACACTCCCCCTCAAGTTGTAGCATATAGATCATATGCTACAAGCTTGATACATAAATAATACTCCCATTAGGAACCAAAAACAACAATGCTACATCAACGAAATGAAATGACCAAGTACAACAAATCAACTGGAATGACCATCAGTCTGAAGAGCTGATAAAGAGACAGTGCTGGAATGGACATCAGAGCATGGATGGTGCCAGAATTATCATCGGCAAGACAACTGAGCTGACCAGGACATCAGCATCAAAATCCCTCTCAGACATTTCATTTAACAGTTGGTGAGCAGCCGTGGTTTCCCCTTGACTATGCTACAAGCTTATTACAAGAAAGACCAAGTAACATAACATCAAAATAAATCTCCTAAATGAGAAACCAAAAATCAACAATGTGCTAAAAATGGCGTCGAAATGAACATCAACATGGAAGATGTCGGAATGATCATCGGCAAAGACAATTGTGCTGGAATGACCATCAACAACATGGATGGTGCTCCCCCTCAAGAGGAACTTCTAAACAGTGCCGGAATTATCATCGGCAAAGACAATTGTGCTGGAATGACCATCAGCAACATGGACAGTGCTCCCACTCAAGAGGAACTTCGGTGTCGGAATTAACATCCGCGGAGACAACATCAGCAACTTGGACAGTGCTCCCCCTCAAGATGGATGATGAATAGTATAAATACTCCATCTTGGGAAGAAAGAAGATTAAAGAAAAACAAAGCTTTGCGGAATCGGAAAAGTCGCTGGAGACGGCGGTGGGTCGTCGGAGACGGTGGTGGATCGCCGAAAAAAGTCGTCGGAAAGTCATCGGAAAATTCGCCGGAGACGGCTGTCAACGGTGGACGACGCGGTCAACGGTGGTCGGTCAACGACAACGGTGGTCAACCCAACAACTTCCCAAGGATCATTCTTTTCTGATGTGACAGATCAGTCTAAGCTGCAGTCACAGAGCATACTAAGAAAAACCCGAAAAGAAACAGCAACGGGAATCCTGCAAGGAGAGTGATATCTATCTATAACCATGTTGAAATTTTGGAAAATAGAACTAAGTTAAACGGATTAAGATTCCTCTTGTTAGGCTCTAGATACCATGTTAAATATCATAGATACAAGAGGAAATGATAGTAATCCTTGTTATATTAAACTACACAACATTGGTGCTATTATATAGCAAACCAATTGAAGAATACAAATAGACACACTCAATGTGGGACTTCTACACTATTAACACTAACACTCTTAACAATAGTCATATTCTCCTTCTAATCAATTAATTGTGATTGATGTCAATATATTTGACAAATCTAGTGGCCAAAATAAACTGATAGTCTTTCTTCTAATCGATTGATGGTGATTAATGTCAAATTGTCAATATTGTATTTATATTATGTGGAGAACTTGGATACCCAATATAAATGAAATGGGAAGTTAAATTAGGTGAATGGATGAAAACCAGTTATCTTTGGTAAAACTGGTACGATAGAACTATTTTGATGCAAGGGTCTTAGTTTGATTCTTGCTTTGGTGAGTCATTTGTATTGTACGCTTGTAGATAACTTGTTCTGGGATCACATGAGTAGTAATTTATTCTTGAAATTGTGAGATTAAGTTGAAGTTCTAAAAGAAAGTGCAATTTATTTTCTTAACATTCCACAAGCACAAAGCTGAGCGCGAGCTTGGGTTCGAATTTTGGAAATAGAAACAGCCTCTTTGATGAGGATAAGGATAAAATTGCATGCAATTGATCGTTACTCCTACTTACCTATATAGGTTGGGAAATCTTGTTCTTTGGAGTTTGCTCTTTTGCCACAAGCACATAATTATTCTTTCGGCCTTTTGCCCCTCATTAATTAATTAATAACCAATTTGTCCCTCCCCCAGAACTATCCACCATCCTGCCCCCATTTAGTCGATCAAGTTGCACTTTTAATCGACTAAGTGAGCAAAATTCAGAAATCAAGAAACACGAATTTTAGTCGACTAAATATTCACCTTGATCGACTAAATGTCGAGCACTTTTAGTCGACTAAGGCCATTATTTAGTCGACTAAATATCGCGGACCAGGTTTTTTAAAACCCCCCCATTTCGCAATGGGGGTTATTTTCAAACCCTAGTCGACTAAGGCCACGCCAAGAACCCCTCTCCTCAACCAAGTTCGAATCTCATCCCTTGAAGGTCCGATTGAAGCATCATTGGTTCACAACTTGCGAATTTGACATTGTAGGTAACGTTTTCTGACTTGCATTTGGTTTTAGGTTTAGGTTTTTTTTTTTCTCCATGCTTTAGTTTCTGTTATTTTAAATTTCTTTTTTTTATGGTAGAAGGTTGTTTGTGGTTTTGTGGCTTTAGGTTAGGGGTAAGGTGTTGAGTTTGATGTGTGGGTAATTGACTAGGGTTGATGTGGTAGCTTAGGGTTAGGGTTAGGGTTAGGGTTGGGGTGTAGGTTAAGGGTTTCTATTTTTATGTTAAGGTATAGGATTGGTTTTCCTGTGATGGGTTAGGGTTAGGGTTAGGGTTAGGGCTGCTGTTTTGGTTGGGGTGTAGGGTTGAGGGTTTGGGTTTGGGTTGCTGTTTTTGATTGGGTTTAGGGTTTGTTTTATGTTTTATTTTAGGGTTAGGGTTTAGTTTTTTATGTTGAATTTCAAATTTTTTTTATATTGTTATTGTCCATTGATATTGTTTCCACTTGCATTGTAGGTACCGTTGTTCCCATGTTCACAATGGCCTTCATTTTAGCCTTCCTATAAGATATGTTGTATCCATACAAACGCTGTACCCTCTCCTGAATAAGAACTGGTTCCAGAGATGGATCTTCTTTTAACATACCTATACAAAAATCAAAGTCAACACAGTCAATAAATAAAACCGTAAAAATAACGTAAACATAAACCAAACATCGCGTAATACATACTTATAATGGCTGCACAGATTACATCAGAATCCAGTTGTCTATGGTCCCGGGTAAGGCCTTGGTTTAGGCAGGTGTGTTCTTTAGCCCACTTACTAACAACCCAAGTATTTCCATTCTTGGGCAACATAGCCCGCATGTACGAGGGACAACCATCAATATGGTGTCGACACTTCATCACAAATCTATGGTTATCGCTTTTTGCCACCACAGCAGTACGATGAGTCTTCATACAATATAATTTGACTGCATGTTGCATTTCAGATTTAGTTCGAAACTCCTGGTACAAATATAATGGATCCCCTAAATGCCAGCCACCGTGGAAGTCATCGTCGCTATACAATATCTCTGTCTCATCATTAGGGTGAGCCCAATTAATGAAAGAATAATGTGGGCTTTCATTCCAAAACGGCTCTATATCGGAACCTACGTCCAAATTCTAGGAGTTTTTCGTCAGTACGATTGATAACACAAATAGGAAATATTCATTTAAAAACTTTAATTTACTATCTTACCACTGCTAACAGGGTCAACACGGAGTGCACGTAATTTTCCAGTAACGGCATTGGTCAAGATGACGCAAAGTAGACTTGTTGAGTATTTTGTGAAGAGGCGTGAAAAGATCCAAAAAGTAAAGGACAAAGGCTGGAGAATTGCAAAAAAGGTTGAGGACTTCTTACAAAAGAATGATCAGTTAACTGTCAGTCTCCGTGTCCGTGTTTTTGATAGAGACTTGCAGTTGTTTGAATTTGAGGATGCCTACAATCAATCTACGCATGATGCCGGCGACATTATGAGGGTTGACTTGCTAAATCGTAAATGTCAATGTGGACGGTTCACAGCTAGACGATTTCCTTGCAGTCATGTGCTAGCGGTGTGCAAGGTAGAAAAATTGAACCACTATGACTATGTCGATCCTGTGTTCTCAATTACACAAATTGAGAAGGTCTATGCTGCACATTGGTTTCCAATGGGTAATGAGTTGTTGATCCCAGAAATAGATGGTCCAACATTAATCCCAAATGCATCTTTGGTTCGTGCACAAGGAAGACCGAAGTCTTCAAGGATACATAATGAAATGGATTGGGTTGAGTCCCAACCCACAAGCAGTCAAACTAGATGCAGCACCTGCAAGCAAATTGGTCACAATAAACGTACATGTCCTATGAGGATTAATCCTAGCTGAAGCAATGTTGTGCATGTATTTAAGGTCTTTTGTAAGAGTTCATGTAATTTTTGTAAGACATTGTGATGTTACTTTGTGTTACTGTATAACGAACTTATGTAATTTGACATTTCATTTCTAAGTCCATTATCTAACATTGGTCCATATTGATAGATTGAAACTCATAACTAATACTAATATTACCAAAAAATGAAATCACCAAGTTTCGGGGAGCGTAAACAAACGGTTTGGGGTAATACGTACCCAATCGCATACGAATCCTGTACAATACTATTTTGTACCTGAAAGTGTGTTCCCCAAGTCATTATATGCGTGTACATTGATATTCGATCGGTTCCGTGCCAAAAAAAATTGTGCAAAACAGAATGGGGTGTCAAAACCAGTTATTTAGTCGAGCAACCCGTACTGGTTTAGTCGACTAAACTGTGTAGTCGACTAAACCAGTACGGGTTGCTCGACTAAATAACTGGTTTTGACACCCCATTCTGTTTTGCACGATTTTTTTTGGCACGGAACCGATCGAATA